CTGGGAGTGGGGCTCCCAAGACGGTGAGTGTTGGCCAGAGAAAGACAGGGAGGCGAAACTGGTGATGGCTCAGCCATGAGGCACTTTTGCCTGCTGGTGTACGTCCTGTCTTCCCAGGCGGGGAAGGGAAGACAGGCCGCGTGGTGGACATTCGTGGCTGGGATGTGGAGACAGGCCGAAGTGTGGCTAGCGTGACGTGGGCAGATGGGACCACCAACGTGTACCGCGTGGGCCACAAGGGCAAGGTGGACCTCAAGTGTGTTGGGGAGGCAGCTGGCGGCTTTTACTACAAGGAGCACCTCCCGAAGCTCGGTATGGTGCTGGCCATGTCACCAGCTGCCCTCCTGCCCCGGCTGTACCCATATTACCCTGTCCTGTCCTGACGGGGGTGGGGGGCAGGTTGCTTCCTGAGACCTAGCCTGCCACCCTCCCCCAGGCAAACCGGCAGAGCTGCAGCGCAGGGTGAGTGTCGATGGCCAGCCCTTCCAGCGTGGAGACAAGGTCAAGTGTCTGCTGGACACAGACGTCCTAAGGGACATGCAAGAAGGCCACGGTGGCTGGAACCCTAGGATGGCGGAGGTGAGCCATCTCTTCTGCTGAGTCCCCATGTACCCTCCTCCCCGAGTCCTTTGGACCCCATCCCTCTTCCTGCCCCGAGAGTCCAGCCTGACCCAGCCATAGCCTCCGTGACCCGCCACAGTTTATCGGACAGATGGGCACCGTGCACCGCATCACAGACCGTGGGGACGTGCGTGTGCAGTTCAACCACGAGACCCGCTGGACCTTCCACCCTGGGGCTCTCACCAAGGTGCCTAGGGGGCTGGGCTGAGCCCCACTTACTGCTTCTCTAACTCCTTCCATGTGCCGGTTCAGTCTTGGGAATGCTTAGGCAGGACTAGGGCACCAGCCTTCCAATTAAGACTGTGACCCGCGGGAAGGGGAGGGCCTGGTGGGTGGAGGTAAGGTAAGCCAGGAAGGGAACCAGTGTGAAGCACACAGAAGAGTGAAGTACTGACATCTTAGACTAGAACCCCTGGGCCAGGGTCTCTGTCCTGAGAACAAAAGGAAGGTACTGTTGTAGGCTAGAGGTGGAGGTTTGCCAAAGGAGACCAGGTTGGGTAGATTCTGTGAAAGCTGTTTGGAAACCTGGACTGTGAGCCAGATAGGTGGGGCTGTCCAGGCAGGGACACAGAGTAGGGCAGAGGGTGCATTTACCTGAACCCAAAGGAGAATTCTTCAGGACAGGCAACGTTTATGCTTTCGCTCTGTACACAAATGCATAGGTCATAGGCATAGATTCCCCGCAGGACCCCCCCTCCCCAAACAGGCCTTACTCTCCCTCCTGGCCCTGTCCCTGCTGCCCTGGAAACAGGTCTAGGCCTTCACATATCTCTAGAGCTGGCTTTGGTCTGGTCTGCTGCTACCCCCTGCCCTGTGGCTCAGGCTGGCCACCCAGGGCTGATTTGGTCACTTGAGCCCCTTGACCAGCCAGGCCATTTGGTTGTACTTGAGGCAGGAATTGGGGTCAAGGTTAGATCTGCTTGCCCTCTGGAGCAGGAGGCGCCCTCTTGCATGATCCTGAGTAGACAGAAGTAGCGGGGGGAATCCCCTTACCTGCTTCTCTGTCATTTAGCACAACAGCTTCTGGGTGGGTGATGTGGTCCGGGTCATCGATGACCTTGACACTGTGAAGCGACTCCAGGCTGGACATGGCGAATGGACAGATGACATGGCTCCTGTGAGTCTTACCATCTGCTGTCACCACGTTTGTCCGCCCCCCCCCCCCGCTGTCTGTTCCACTTCCAACCTGTTGTGACCCCCCACCTCTCCCCAGGCCCTGGGTCGCGTGGGGAAAGTGCTGAAGGTGTTTGGAGACGGAAACTTGCGTGTGGCGGTCGGCGGTCAACGGTGGACCTTTAGCCCATCGTGCCTAGTGGCCTACCGGCCCGAGGAAGACACCAACTTGGACGTGGCTGAGCGTGCCAGAGAGAACAGAAGTGCGGCATCAGCCTCAGTGGCCGGTGGGAGGAAGGGCAGCCCCCGGCCGGCACTTACCTCAACCCTGCCCCCAGGCTCACTGAGTGTGGCCCTGGACAAGCTTCGGACCCAGAAGAGTGATCCAGAGCATCCAGGGAGGCTGGTTGTAGAGGCTGCACTGGGAAACGTAGCCCGGGCTCTGGATGTACTGCGAAGGCACCCGGAGCAGGCAAGCTTCCACCGCACCCTTTGGATAGCCAGCGGGGACAGGGCCTAGAATTCACGTGTTGGCTTTCCGCACAGGTGGACATCAAGAACCAGGGCAGGACCGCCCTACAGGTGGCTGCTTACTTGGGCCAGGTAGAGCTGGTGCAGCTGCTGCTGCAGGCAAGGGCAAGTGTGGACCTGCTGGACGATGAGGGCAACACTGCGCTCCACTACGCAGCTCTGGGGTGAGGCCTGGGCAGGCTGGTGGGTGGGTCCTCTTGGGAATGAACGTTAGAGCCAGTGTGCATAACAGACTGTCCCCAAATCCTCCCATTTCTTCCCGTAGGAACCAGCCTGAGGCCACAAGGGTGCTCCTGAGTGCAGGATGTGGGGTTGATGCTCGAAATGGCACACGCAGCACAGCCCTCCACGTGGCTGTGCAGAGGGGCTTCCTAGAGGTGGTAAAGACCTTGTGTGAGCGTGGTTGTGATGTCAACTTGCCGGTGAGTGAGAGTCCCTGGACCCTCTGCCGCTAACCAGCCCTAGGTCAAGGAAGCAACTTGACCTTGGACAAAGGCAACCGTGTGTGACCAGCCCCGTCTGTTTCAGGATGCCCACGCGGACACGCCCCTGCATTCTGCCATCTCTGCAGGTGCTGGTGCCAGCAGCATTGTTGAAGTCCTCACCGAGGTGCCTGGCATCGATGTCACTGCTACCAATAGCCAGGGCTTTACATTGCTGCACCATGCGTCCCTCAAGGGCCATGTGCTGTGAGTGTGGAGTTGGTCGTATCACTGTCCTGCAGCCTTCTGGCCCACTGCCAGGCTATCCCAATTGAGGGCACTCAGGTCTGTAGAAGACCTTGGGCAGCTCTTCTTGTTCCTACAGGGCAGTCAGAAAGATTCTGGCACGGGCACGGCAGCTGGTGGATGCCAAGAAGGAGGATGGCTTTACTGCATTGCACCTGGCAGCTCTGAATGACCACCGTGAGGTGGCGCAGGTCCTAATCCGAGAGGTGGGTGCAGAGGACCCTGGGCCACCCACAGGCCAGGAACCAGACCCGGTGGGGTCTGGAAACTGAGCCCGTGCCCCCCCCCCACTTCCCCAGGGCCGTTGCGATGTGAACGTGCGCAACCGGAAGCTTCAGTCTCCGCTGCATCTGGCTGTGCAGCAGGCCCACGTGGGGCTGGTCCCGCTGCTGGTGGATGCTGGCTGTAGCGTCAACACTGAGGATGAGGAGGGAGACACAGCCCTGCACGTCGCCCTGCAGCGGCACCAGCTGTTGCCCTTGGTGTCTGACAGGGCTGGGGGGGACCCAGGGCCCTTGCAGCTGCTGTCGAGGGTGAGGGGCTAGAAAGGAGGGTCTGGGTGATTTTTCACTTCCCACTGTGCTCTAGGGAACCAGGATTTCTGGACAGTGGGGCAATTTGGAGGACTTCAGTTTCAGGATCTATAATCTAGGCCAATCTTGGAAAAGGGTTGGGGTCTGGTTGGGATGAGAGGATGAAGGGTCTCAGAGTTTCTACACCTACCCAGCGAAGGGTACTTTTGGAGCCTGTCCTCTCCACTCTTGCTAGAACCAGAAGCCTTAGCCCAGAAAGGGGTGTGTGTGTTCAGATTTCTGGGTCAGCCTGGGGCCAGCAGAGGCTTTCCTCAAGTCCGTGTGGGTGTCCACCCTTATCTGTACGTTCTGCCACTCAGCTACAGGCCTCAGGCCTCCCAGGCAGCACAGAGTTGACCGTAGGCGCAGCAGTGGCCTGCTTCTTGGCACTGGAGGGTGCTGACGTGAGCTACGCAAACCACCGTGGCAGGAGCCCACTGGACCTGGCCACGGAAGGCCGAGTGCTCAAGGCTTTGCAGGGCTGTGCCCAGCGCTTCCGGTGAGCCCAAAATGGGGGTGTGGAGGGGGGGCACTGCTAAGGCCACCGGGTCCTTTCAAGCCCCCTCCTCCAACTGCAGGGAGCGACAGGCAGGTGGCGGTGGGGGTGTGCCCCCGGGCCCCCGGCACGTGCTGAGCACCCCTAACACCGTGACGAACCTGCATGTGTCTGGCACGGCAGGGCCAGAAGCTGCCGAGTGCTTGGTGTGCTCGGAGCTGGCACTGCTGGTTCTGTTCTCGCCGTGTCAGCATCGCACCGTGTGTGAGGGTGAGTGCAGGTTGTGGAGGCCCTGGGTGGCCCGGCTGCCTCTTCCGGCCCCACTAACTGTAAGCTGCCCCTGCTGGCAGAGTGCGCTAGGAGGATGAAGAAGTGCATCAGGTGCCAGGTGGCCATCAGCAAGAAGCTGCGCCCAGGTGTGTGGGAGGGGCTTGGAGCAGGCTCTCCTCGCCCAACCCAATCTTCACACCTGCTGTGGCTGACGCCCACTCACTTCACCCCACAGATGGCTCAGAGGTGGTAAACACCATCCAGGTACCCGGTCCTCCTCGGCAGCTGGTGGAGGAGCTCCAGAGCCGCTACCGGCAGATGGAGGAGCGCATCACCTGCCCCATCTGCATCGACAGCCACATCCGCCTAGTGTTCCAGTGCGGCCACGGAGCATGCGCGCCCTGTGGCGCCGCGCTCACCGCCTGCCCCATCTGCCGCCAGCCCATCCGCGACCGCATTCAGATCTTCGTGTGAGAGCATTCAGCACACCGTGGCCGATCCCAGACCCTTCTACAAAACACGTGTATTTTATAAAAACATTCTCGGACTTTGCTGCCTGCTCCTTGCCTAGCGATGCTGGGCAGGCCCCAGCTATCCTCACCATTCCCAGCAAACTCTCCCCACCCCCAAAACACATACACCATGAAGCCCCAGGCTGCCTGTAGGTCAGGAACGCTCACTGGTTGTCGTCCAGGCCACTTACAGTGATCTTGCTGTGGTTTGACATAAGAGGGTCCCGGAGCCCACACGGTGCTCCAAAAGGCTTAGGGTGGCCCTATTTTCGCCCCTATAGGGGGCCCACCCTACTTGCTTCGGCTCCTGTGCTCGTCCCTTCCTCCGCCCCCGCCTGGGGCGGAACTTAAGACGATTTGGATTTTGGCCAAAGCAGTCTCCCCTTTCAGAGGGTCCTGGCTTAGGAGTGAAAGGATAGGAGGCCGCCAAGCTCTTGGCAGTTGAGCAGGGGCAGAGGGGAGACGCAAGAAAGGGTCCACTTGTTGGAACAAATACTTAGTAATGAAAGGAGGGCAGATGGCTAACGCTTTTCAAGAACTTCCAGCACAGCTATTCCGGGCAGCTTGGCGCTGACTCTGCTGGCTAGTACATTGTTGCTGTCACCCAGGGTCCAAAGCCGGCATGGAAAACAGGGAGGGACAAGGCGTCTGGCTGGGAGCCCCTCCTTCCTCAGCCGGGCTCTCACCCCCTGCTCTCCGTGTCTCACCCACCCAGTCTGCTCCCCGCCCCCCGGGGGGATCTTAGTTGGGCCTGGCATGATTTGAGTTGCCATGCCATGCTCGCTCATTTGGCGCACACCCAATACAGCCACCGGCTGCCAGGTCGACCCTTCAGGGCTCGGACCATCACTCCTAACCTACCCCACAAGCCAGAACCCAACCAGACCACCACAGTGAGTGCCTGATTTTGTTTTCGTAACCCCCTCCCCTCTGAGCCTGAGCAGAAATTCAGGGTCCTGGCACTCTCCCCAGACCTCCCGCTCAGGTCCAACGAGAGCACCTTCTGCACCAAGTAGATCCCTTCTCAGATGTCCTAAGGACCCCCACAAACCTTTTACGCCCTGTCTTCCTGTCTTTCCTGAGCTCCCTTCCCTACTGCAGTCTCCCCCATCTGCCCGCTCAGCCACCGCATTCTCACTGCCACGTCCCCTGCCTCTGCACTCCCCTCTCTCTGTGTGCTGGTTCCACTCAGGCACTGCGGGGACCAAAACCGAGATTTCCCTCGCGGACTCATTGTGAGGGGGAAAAGCCAAAAGGTCATTCAGCCCCAACAAGGTGGGCATGGGGAGCAATTGATGCCCCTTCCCCAAATCTGAGCCCTGGCGCCTTACTTGTTCCTAGCCGTTTCTCCCGTCCTGATAGACACCCCCCATCCTTCGGCGGGCGTTCTGGCCACTGTCACCGACCCTAAGACCTGGTTCCTGGAACCCCCTAAGGGATGAGGATCGTTCCGAACGGGACAGCTGGTTCACTTCACAGGCCAGCGCCGGGTCCTCGCCCCACGATGGGGCTGTAACTCGAGCCGCTCGTCGCCAACCCCCCCCTCCCACTCCGCCCCAACTCTGCGGCCCAAGTCCCTGCGTCGCGCTACCCCTTGTGGCCCTGAACCCGACAGCAAGTCTGCCATGGTCTGCCCAGCCTGCGTCCATCTGGAGGTATCGGGTGCTGTACAACAGGGCCGCTGGTTCGGGGCTGTCCTGAGCGGGTTGTGCTTTCTTTCTGCGCTGGTGTTGCTGGAGTGGCCATGGGCGCCGGCAGAGACCGCCTGGAGTGCAGCGGTGAGCTGGTTCGCATCTGAGGGTCTGTCAATCAGTGGGCCCATCTGTAAGGGGGTGTGTGGGCCTGCGTGTGAGTCCTTAGTTCCAGGCATCCTCAATCAGTGTGTCCAGGGGTCGCTGGTGGGAGGCAGCGTCCGTCTCCAGCTCTGCCAACTCTCAGTGACTTTTTATTCATTTTATTTATTTATTTTTTTGAGACAAGGTTTCTCTGTGTAGATTTATTTGTGGAACTCGCTCTGTAGGCCAGGCTGGCCTCTGTAGACCACCGCCACCTCCAGAGATTAAAGGCACGCACCACCAAGCCTGCCTCATGTAGCTCTGAACAACACCCCCGCCCCCCCCCCTTTTTTTTTCTTTTGGAGACAGGGTTTTTCTGTGTAGCCTTGGCTGTCCTGGAACTCAGTCCGTAGACTAGTCTGGCTTTGAACTCTCCACTCTCAAAGCTCCCTGCACCAGGGTGGGGAGTAAAAGCAACTCATTAAGTGTGGGAAAAGCGAAAACCCCCAGGGTTTATTCGCAATTTCCTCCACTCCATTGCCTAACAAGTCAGCTTTCAGCAACTATTTTGGGAACCACAGACTCTTTCTCCTGCCTCCTCAAATCCACTTTTTTCCCCTTGAAGAGAAATGTGGACGCACCAGACCCTTCAGGGGTCTCCACTGTCCAGGTCCCCAGCTCGTTGACCATACCGGTACCCCGAAGACGCCGGTACACGCTGACACCGGCCAGGCTGCGCTGGAACCACTTCAATCTCACCTACAGGTGCCAGCCGGGCCGGGAAGGAGGGCAGGTGGTCCGGCCATACCGCAGACACTGCCTCCTGCCGACATTAACTCTCAATACGCCACCCCCAGGATTCTCTCCTTTCCCCGGAACCTTATAAACCCGGAGGAGACCAGGAAGGGCCTGGCTGCTGCCTTTCGCATGTGGAGTGATGTTTCTCCGTTCCGCTTCCGTGAAGTGGCCCCCGAGCATCCCAGCGACCTCCAGATAGGTGGGTGACTGAAGCACTCCCGCCCCGCCCCTAGTCCCCACAGGTTTGACCGCAGCCTTGTCTTCCTAGGTTTCTACCCAGTCAATCACACCGACTGCATGGTCTCTGCCCTGCACCACTGCTTTGATGGCCCCACAGGTGAACTGGCCCACGCTTTCTTCCCACCCCACGGGGGCATTCACTTTGATGACAGCGAGTACTGGGTCTTGGGCCCCACGCGCTACAGCTGGAAGAAAGGTGATCCAACTCCTTGGTCTGGCCTCATTCTCTCCACCATGTGGGCTACAGAGGTCTTTGGGGGCAGGAAAGATTTCCTGGGGCTGAATATTTGAGAGGAATTCAGGTTCTCACAGGCCCGTTCCCTCCTCCTCCCCTCCCCCAAGCGGCTGGAGAGGGAGCTGGAGTTGCATTCCGGAGGGCCAAGCTCACAGCCTAGGCCGGGAACAAACTTATCTTCCTTGGCTGTGGGCTAAGGGTGACTTGCAGCTGGGCTTCCCCATCAGCGCTCGGCCTCCTAGAGCGGAAGGGCTGAGGGCTCCCAAGCACTAACCATGAGGCCCACAGGTGTATGGCTCACAGACCTGGTGCACGTGGCGGCGCACGAGATTGGCCATGCGCTGGGACTGATGCACTCACAGCAAGAGCAGGCACTCATGCACATCAACGCCACATTGAGGGGCTGGAAGGCACTGTCCCAGGATGAGCTGTGGGGATTACACCGACTCTATGGTGAGTACCTTGGAGCAGGTGGGTGTCAGGTGGGAGGGGCTCTAGGCAAGCTCTGAGCCTTGCTGCCTTGCTCTCCTGTTAGGCTGCCTGGACCGGCTTTTTGGGTGTACATCCTGGGCACGAAAGGGATTCTGCGATACCCACCAGAGGCTCATGAAGAGGCTCTGCCCCAGAAGCTGTGACTTCTGCTATGGTGACCGAGGCTCAGATGGGGTTGGGTGGGAGCTCTTGTGAGCCTGGTTTGATGGGGCTAAGCACTGACCTGGCATTTCACCATTCTCCGAGCAGAATTCCCATTCCCCACTGTGGCCACCACCACACCACCCACCAGAATGAAAACGAGATTGGTCAAAGAGGGCAGGAACATGACCTTCCACTGTGGGCAGAAGATCCTACGCAAGAAGGGCAAAGTATAGTGAGTGAACAGCACTGGGCAGGCATGGCCAGAGGGGCTTGGGGCTGCCTGGGGTGCCCCGGGGGGTATATCTTGGGGCCCTTGGCATGGGTAGGGATGCAAGAACCTCCCCCCTGCAGCTGGTACAAGGACCAGGAGCCCCTGGAGTTCTCCTACCCTGGCTACTTGGCCCTGGGCGAGGCACAGCTGAGCATCATTGCCAACGCAGTCAACGAAGGCACCTACACATGTGTGGTGCGCCGGCACCAGCGTGTGCTCACTACCTACTCCTGGCGCGTGCGACTGAGGAGCTGAGCCTGCTAATAGCAGATAAAGCACTTTCTCTCTGATGTCTCTGTGCTGTTTCATGGGAAGAGGGAAGGCCAGCCTCTGCCATCTGGATGTGGGAGTGCTGGGGTCAGTACCCACCTGGCCCCTGGAGCAGTGGGGTAAAATGAAACCCAGGGGTCAACAGCACCCCTAGGGTGTGCAAGAGGGGTGTGGGCCCTTGGTGAGGCTTCAGTGTGGAGAGGCTGAGGATCAGCGTGGACAGAGGTAGGGGCCCCAGGCAGTCACAAGCACTTAGGGCCCACCTGGGAGCCAGCATGATGGGGAAAAGACGACATACAAAAGCTTCCTCCAAGAATAGTTTACTACTTAAAACATCTAACAACCTCATGTATAAAAACCCACTGTGGCTAAAGTTGTCCCACACCTGGTTCTGAGAGTCAAAGTTTGTGGTGGATGGGTCTGGCTTAGTTACTCCAGCGAGATGCAGGCTGCCTCACGCATCGCACACAAGCCACCAGTCTCCCAGACCGACAAGCAGACAACTCCAGCTCGGCTCCAGACAGGGCCTTACTACGTGGAGGGGTGGGCCATCTATTCAGGCGCCTACAGATGCTCACCCTTCTTCACGAGGCAAGTTAGACAACTCTGAAAACTCTTTCCTTTCCAGAAGGAAAAATGTGATTTAATTCTACAAATTGTCAACCCACCCCAAAACAAACAACATTAAAAAAAAAAAGTTGCCCTGATTCAGGTCTGCCTGTCACCAATCTAGCTGGCCGAGGTCAGTCAATCTGACCTCAGAACTTGAGACTGAAGCCAGGGCCAGCAGCTGAAGCTCCCTGGTTGGTGGTGGTGAGGTGGAAGCCTGTCTCCTTCAGGTCATCGTCACCCAGCTGGCTGTAGCCCAGGCCGCCCTCGGGGGGCCGTGGACTCGTGCCTCGCTTCACCCTCTGCTGCTCACTCTTGGCGGGCCATGTGGGGAACATGGACGGGTCAATGGGCAGGGGAGTCTCTCGGAAATACTCGTGTTTCAGGCCGTCTTCTGCACTGATCCTCCTCCCGGGGTAGTAGGTCAGGAACCTGAAGAGAATGACATAGAGATCAGGGCACACACGGCCATCACAGACAGAGCCAAGCCTCTTGGTGGAAACTTGTGGGGCTCGGTTGAGAAGGAAGATGAGACCCATTGGGCCTCAGCGTCTCTTACAACCTGGTATTCTGGGGGCTTCTGGCAGGTCTGCAAGAGAAATCAGTCTGGAGCCCAGTGGCTGCCAACTATGCCACCCTCAGACTTACTTGTTCATGAGATCAAAGCCCTGATCTGATAACAAAGCCCCAAATCGCTTGCGGAGGTTGTTATAGGGATACTCGCTGAAGGTCATCTTCTTGACTGCTGGAAGGTCATTATAGCCTGGCCAGATTTTCTCACTGGGAGTTCCCAGGTCCTGAAAAACAGGGATGTCTGAATTAGACATGCCCTTCATGGTGCCCACACGCCACTTCTTATCAGAGGGGCCACCAAAAGACCAGTGTGGCTGGGGGTCCCAATCCTGATCCCAGTTCTGCATACACACTGCAAGTCATTCTCTAGAAAGACAGGCCATCCCTAATATTCACCTTGAAAACCTTGTTGATCTGATCGATATCTGACTTCCCAGGGAACAGAGGCTTCTGTGTCAGCAGCTCTCCAAAGATGCAGCCCACTGACCACATGTCCACAGCCGTAGAGTACTCCTAAAGCCCAGAGCACAGAGTTCAGACGCCTGAGGCTCAGGGTCAGCCACAGGCTTGCTCTCAGACCCCTCTTTAAACCCACCTTAGCACCGAGCAGCAGTTCTGGGGCGCGATACCACAGGGTGACGACCACTGGAGTGTAGGCTTTCAGGGGTGAGCCATACTCCCGAGCAAGCCCAAAGTCACCCACCTATAATAAGAGAGACAGGGTGGCCTGTAAGACCTGTATGGACAAGGCTCCAGGGGGAGGACAGAAGTATGGGGCTCACCTTGAGAATGCCAGCATGGCTCAGCAGAAGGTTAGAGGTCTTAAGGTCACGGTGCAGGATCCAGTTATCGTGGAGGTGTTTCACCCCACTCAGTAGTTGGATCATTAGGGTCTTCACCTCCCCTGCAAGAGTAATGAGATCATACACATGCTTCCTTTGCCCCATGAGCTCCCTACACCCCTGCAAAAGGGCCCAGGACTCAGGTTATCTGTGTAGTCCAGCAGCAACTAGACTTCTGGGGCAGGTTCATCCCAGGAACACTCTCAGTCCAGGGCGGCTCCGAGCTCATACAGACAGGATCACATGTGCTCTGTCCCTATGACTGTCCAGGGTGGCGTGCAGCCATACCTGGCAGGAAGGGCTGCTTCATGGTCTCCATTAGGCTCTTGAGGTCATGTTCAACATAGTTCATCACAATGTAGATCTTGTCCATGTTGCTTCCCACAACGATTTCCTAGGAATTAACAGTCGATCTATGGGTTCTGGGTGTGGTTTCTACCTCCACCCCCACCCTGGCAAACACTGATTCTTGACCTACTAAAATAAGACTTCTTGGGAAGTGGGTATCATTGGAGCTGCTAACACCTGATCCTACAATGCCACGGAACCTTCTCCCTTGTCCCTTCAAGGGATAAACCTCTCACACAGACAGGGCCTGCCAAATGTGGAGACTGAGCCTCACTCTGACAGTGACGATATTGGGGTGCTGGGCCTTGAGGATGGTGTTGATCTCCCTCAGCGATGTGATCGGGAAGCCTTCCTTCTCCTTCTCCATCTTTAGCCGCTTCAGAGCCACAATTTCATCTGTAAAGAAAGCTGTGTGACCTGGGTATGGTGGCTCATGCTTGTGATCCCAATACTGGAGAAGCCGAGGCCAAAACACCAGAATAGTCAGATGTAGCGACATATGCCTTCAACCTCAACATTTGGGAGTAGAGATGGATCTCAGTGATGCCAAGGTCAGTCTGGTCTACAAGGCGAGTTCCAGGGTTACATAGAAAGGGCTGCCTCAAACCAACCAACCACGTAAATGCAAACTGAATTCAGGAACACATCAAAAAGATAATTCACCAAACTGGCTTTTTTCCCCAAATACGCAGGGATGATTTGATATAAAAATCAATAAATGTGATAAATTACATGATTATCTTACAGATGCCAAGAAAGGCTTTTTAACAAAATCCAACATATTTCGTGTTAAAATTCCTGAAGGAACAAATCTCAATGTGGTAAAGGATAAATGTGATGAGTTTACAATTAACATTATATTAAATGGGAGAAACTCAAAAACATTTCCAGGGCTTGGTTGGAGATGGCTCAGCAGTTCAGAGTACTTACCACCCTTGCCTAAACCCAGGTTTGATCCCAGTGCCAACATGATCAATTACAACCATTTTAACTGTTATTTCCAGAGGACCTGATGCCCTCTTCTGGCCTGAGGCACCAGGTATACACACGATACATAGATAATCATGCAAGTAAAACACTCATACACATCAAAAAACAAACAAACATTCCCACTGATATTAGGAACAATACAGGGAGCCTACCACTCTTATTCCATACAGTACCAGAAGCCTTTTAAAAAAAAGAATATAAATAAGAAAATCAAAATATCTCTATTTACAGAAGTTATGATTATAAATCTATAATAGTTGTATGGTTATCCTGGCTAGTTTTATGTCAAATCGACATAAACTGGAGTCATCTGAAAGGAGGGAGCCTCAACTGAAAAATGTTTCCATAAAGCATTTTCTCAATTAGTGATACAACTAGATATACCACCAGCTGTACGGGACCCAGCCCATTGTGGGCAGTGCCACCCCTGGGTTCTATAAGAAAGCGGGCTGAGCAAACTAGTAAGCAGCACCTCTCCATGGTCTCTGCAACAGTTCCTGTCCCGACTTCCAACAGTGATGGTCTACTGTTGGGGGACACAAGGGCCCTTGTAGCCATGAGTTACCAGGGAAACCAGGAACAAATACACAGAGGTGCCTTCTCAGTGAAGGAGGCAAAATACTGGCATTCCATCCAGAAGGCTGAGAGCGGATTTTGCCAATAGCCTTGGTGACCTCTGCTAGCTCTAGAGGCAGACCTCACCCAACTTCCCAGAATGTTTACCCCGACCCTCCCTCCCTAGACTGTTATCTTTAGCTCCCAGCTAAACCCATCCTTAGGGAGACACCACGCGTATTTATTCTATAGCCTGCTGATCTCTATGCTATCCGAGACCACACTAGACCTTTATAGCCAGCCAGAGAACCCACCCTCACGGTCACATGTACTTTGGAAAGGCATTTCTGTGTAGTTAAACCTTAAGTTTTATGTGTACCTAAAATTGGAATGATTATTGCCTGGAAACTTTCCTCCAAATTGTACTGTTTGAACTATGCTGACAATGAACCACTTTCCGAAGTCTAAACCAGGTTGACAAGTCGATCTGATTAAGTTTTATTCTCATCTCTTCTCAGATCATTGCCTGTATGAACACCTGCAGGATCCCAGTAAGATTATAATGTGGAAATGTAAAACCCTTTCCTCCCCATTCGGCTTTTTGTCATGGTGTTTCATCACCAAAGTCATAACCCTAATAAGATAACAGAAGACACTAAAGACTCCACAAGATACTCCTTTTCAGCAAAGTGGTAGGAGACAAACACATAAAAATCAATAGCCTTCCTATATACCAATGACAAACATACTGAGAAAGATATCAGAAAAACAATTCCATTCACAACACCTTTGACCCCAGTGCTTCTGGAGGCAGAGGCAGGTGGCTCTCTAGGAACTGGAGACAATCCTGACCACATAGTGAGGTCAAGGTTAGCCCCAACTAACAAATAAAAACAATCCCCACCTTGGGATAAACTACACAAAAGATATGAGAACTCTGAAAGGAAATTAAAAGGAACTGGAGCTGGAAAGATGGTTCAGTGGTTAAGAGCACCTACTGCCTGTAACTCTAGATATAGGAGGACTCAATTCCTCCAGCCTTCCTAGGCTCCTGCACACAAAGATAAACGTACACACACATACTGATAATTAAAAAAAATAGGCTGGGTGGTGGGGGCATATGCCTTTAATCCCAGCACTTGAAGAAGCAGAGGCAGGTGGATCTCTGTGAGTTCAAGGCCACCCTGGTCCACAAAATGAGTTCCAGGACAGTCAGGGCTACACAGAAAAACCCTCTCAATAAAACAAAACAAACTGGAAACTGGGGGCGGGGTGGGGGGGAAGAGAAAAAAAAAATCTTAGGATTCATATGGAAGCTGGGCAGTATTATGTGATGTTTCAGTTTGTTAAGACACTGTGAATTAACATGCTCTCCTTTGTCTTCTCCAACTGAGGAAGAAGTAGGGAGTACATTTCAAAATACAGGCATGCACAGGTAAGGACTTTCTGAATAGCATCTGGATCACTTGAGGCCAATAACAGAGAAACAAAATCTCCAGAAGGGCCCATTATAGGAGGGAAGAACAGGCTTTAATGTGAGCAGGGGACAGTAGAATATATGTGATATGATATTAAATTTAGGGGGAGAGCTGGAGGCAGAAGCAGGTGGATCTCTGAGTTTGAGGCCAGCCTGATCCACAGAATGAGTTCCAGACAGCCAGGGCCACATAGTGAGATTATGCCTCAAAAAAACAAAGAAAATAACA